ACAGGACCAGAAGATTTTTTTCTTATTTAGACCATGGCAACTTTGACAGTGAATATCTTGAGAACAAATCATTCGATTTTCGAAAAAAAATACGCAGTTGTGACGAGAATCGAAAGACCTTCAAAACATGTTACCTATCGAACAATCTTCCCTATCTAAAAAACAGGGGTGAAAGTCACCACACAGGGGGTGCACCCTCCTAGCGAAATACCGATGGAGTCAAGAAATTTCCCTCTTGAATACAAAAATGACATGTCGTATATTTTATGTAATGAAACCAATGGAAGAATCTTCACAAATAAGTTTGCTGATAAAGACATAGGTTTCCCAGACAGCACAGAAACATCTTAAAGACGTCCCTAGGTCCCTAGCCACTAGGATGTCCACAAACAGACATATTATGTTTCCAAGACAGCACAGAGACATCTTAAAAACGTCCCTAAGATATCTATAAACGAACATATTATGTAGACAGAGAATAAATAGATGCGTAGTAGCCGCAACCCCGCAACCTACGAAAGAAAGATATACGCTTTTGTCTTTCTCACTTTGGTTTTGAGTAAATGACAGTACACGAAGACGCAGCATCGCGCTTTCGTCTAAGCATAATTATGCAAACTAGTTCTTAAACCTTTTTGTACGTTCTATAGATTGTTTGGAATTTACAGTTGTCTTCAAACAATTCCTTGGCCCAATAGCTAATCTGCTATTACGTTTTCTCTGGAAATAGGAATGCACCCAGAAATGTCTGTTTTTTCTCTATTTATTCGGACGACGGTACGAGAAGCAAAAGATCTTCTTCGTCGCTAGACATCGTTTCAGCTGCCATTCAATTTGAATCTGATAAATTTAAATCTCCTTTAAATACATAAACCATTATTCACTTTTAGCAAAGTCTTTTAGGCCCGGTTGTACCAAAATAGTGGTTTAGTTGAACTTTGGTACTTTGGCAGATTTCTGACAATACGTTTTAAATAGGAAAAATCAAGTACCAATAGCAGAGAATCCCGCTGAACCCGGAACCACTATTCGGTACAGCCGGGCCTAAAAAAGTTATTAATGGTTATGTTAAAAAAAAGAAGAATTTAGTTGGTACTGAATATTTATTTTTTCTCCAAATGTCAGAAAAACGTCACTTTGTTAACTCCTGTCAAGATGTCAGAAGTTTGATTTCTATGCTGCTAGGCAAATCCAGCGGGTTAACACCTGTCGAGGTGGTAGAAATTTAATTTCTATGCTGCTTGGCAACCCTAGCGGCAGCAAAAGTACTTTTAGTGCCGCTCGTACTTTTACTGCCGCTCAACCATTCACTTGCCCCGGAGCTTACCCCATTCGTTTGGAGAAAAAATAGCGTGTTGCATACCGAGTAGAAGCACTTTTTTGTGCTTCAGCAGTATTGCAAGCCTCACTACGTTCGGCTCGCAAACCTACTGCTTCAGCTCAAAAAAGTAAAGCTTCTACTCCTAATACAACAATATACTATTATTTGATTGACGATTGGGAATACCTTATGAGGAAACCGAGAAAGAAACAAACTGTTTTTTCCATTAATAGTTATTTATTATACAAGACGGTAAAAAGATGCTTTACCTGTGAGTGGAAAATGTTGATTCACGAGCGACGAAGGAGCGAGTAGATTAATTTCACGAACAGGTAAAGCTTTTTTACCGTTGTGTATAATAAATATTCTATTTTATTCTTGAGCCACTTTCTATTTATCACAATTACTAAAATCATAAACTAAAATGTGCTAAATAATGACAAATTGACAAAGTACCTAACAAACTGACACATTTCTGGTGTTGTCAATCATGCAACATATCAGATTTCTGTCAAAAACACTATAATTATTATAAAAGAAGAGAACGAGTGGGTAAAATTGACCTATAAGTGGGTAAAATTGACGTATGAGTGGGTAAAATTGACAAATGAGTTGGTAAAAATTGTTCGATTTCACTACTTCAAATAAAGTGTTACTTTAACAACGAGCTTTGAGTCGATTAAATGATAGTTTACCATTCGCGATAGAATAAAGACATATTACAATACTCTTTCAAATCAAAATTCATAAAAATCGTGCAAGCCGTTTTCGAGATAATTAAGACGTTCCATACTTAAAACTCACTCCTGTATTGCATTTAATAATATACCTACTTACACAAAACAAATAGGCTTTACATATTATCAGACTGTTTAAAATACATAAGAAATTTGAAAGCATTGACAATTTTACATTGTATTGCCAACATAATGTCATTTTGACTTTTATCTTTTAAAAAAAAACACACTTTACTTACGAACAACTTTGTTCATTTTGCAGTGTCCAGCATGAATACTGAAAATGTAACGAAAAATTTATAAACTGCGTGAATAAGTTAGTTATTCTCCTAACAAGTGCGGAAAGTATCATTTTTCCGCACGCGATGATTGTCGTTAGCCGAACGACGCGAAGCGGAGTTCGGATAGCAATCGAGTGTGGAAAAATTACTTTCCGCAAGTGTTAGGAATATATAATTTTTTCTACGAGTAGACAATAAAAATCAAAAATTAACAACATTTTTTATTTATAATTAGCAATTTTAATGGTGAATGTACAGGGTGCTGCAATTTGGAGTGTTTTAACAGAAAAAACATACTTCCAGACCAGATAGAGGAAAATTGACTTAGATGTCATGGGATTGATTTTCGAGAAACGTCGATTGTCAAAAACCGTATCGCGATATCTTCAATGGTACCATTAATACAGGGCGATTTTCGATTTTCCCCTATTATGAGAAATGGCTATAAGTTTTTTGTTTATCAATTTTTTTTATTTCTGTGAAAACATCTTTTAGATACTTTTTTGAGCACAATCCAGTGGCGTACTCAGTTTTTTTCTATTTTGCTTCCATTTTGAGATATTGACCAAAGTCCAATTTTTTTAAATGGGACAGCCTATATATCAATAGCTCATTGGATAGCTCTGCTTTTTCTGATTTCAACGATATAAAGTTCGATAGGTTTATCTCTAACAGTTTTCGAGAAAAAAAATTATATCTGTTTCAGTCATAAGAACCAATGTGTTAGAAAGAGACCTTCCTCATTTTCCTTACACATATAAAATCTTTTTCTAACACATTGGTCCTTACGACAAAAACAGATATAATTTTTTTTCTCGAAAACTGTTAGATATAAACCTATCGAACTTTATATCATTGAAATCAGCAAAAATAGAGCTATCCAATGAGCTATTAATATATAGGGTGTTTCATTTGAAAATATCGGACTTTGGTCGATATCTCGAAATCGAAGCGATATAGAAAAAAACTGAGTCCGCCACTGGATTGTGCTCAAAAAAGTGTCTCCATAATGTTTTTACAGAAATAAAAAAAATTGATGAATAAAAAACTTATAGCTATTTTTCATAATAGGGGAAAATCGAAAATCACCCTGTATCAATGATACCATTGAAGATATCGTGTCAATTTTTCTCTATCTGGTCTGGAAGTGTGTTTTTCCTGTTGAAACCGGTTGAAACACTCCAAATTGCAGCACCCTGTACAATTTTCAACAATTTCAACATATTGTAAATTTATCGCTGATGCAAATTGACGGTTAAGCACATGATGATGGTATTGACCATCCGGAGTCCTCCCCAAAGTTTCTACTATTAGTGGTAACTTCTAAGCTAGAATCTGAAACATTTGCTTTTGCTAAATTAACATTCTGCTGAAAATTGTACATGCACCATTCACCATTGTTTGTATATCGTAGGTATTCCATCCTAACCTTAACAAGCCGCTCCACAACCTTCGTCAGAGTATGCAACAAGCTATAGGCCGAAAGTTAGAAGGACGGTCATGCTCATCACCCTTATATAAAGGGACGATCACTGCTATCTTCAGGCAAGACAGGAAAACCCCCGACACAATAGAAACGTTAATTGCCTTAGCAAGAATCTGCAACGCAACCAGGGGTAGAGTCAAAAAACCACTCAATGAGAGCCCATCCCAACCTGCCGCACCCTTATTCCTTATATTTGCGAGTATGCATTTAGGCTCTTCTGCATTAGTAGGAGCAGACTACATGTTTTAGATAGCTCAGATTACTCCCTGTTGAAATTTTGAAGGAGAGTTCACTGGCAATATTGCAGTAAAAAGAAAAATAAGTAAAAAGTAAAACGTCATCAGGATGTAGATTGTTTGAAGTGACCGAAACATTATTCCTACCGCTCAGCTCATGCAAAACTCTCCAAGTTTCCCTTGATCTATCAGAAGAATTATTCATCTTATTCTGAAAGTAATTCAACTTGGCAAGCCTGATCGATCTTCTGTAAACCCTGTTAGAAAAAAATTATGGTATCGAACTCATTTGTGAAAAAATTAATAATCATTTTTATTGAAGTTGGACGTTGGACCACACGTCTTTTGAAAAATTTAAATAAGGTAGGTAGGTATACAATACCAACCAAGAAGAAATAACGTAAACCTACCTAAATATAGGTATCATCCTTTAGTGGTTATACCATACCACAAATAGTAGAATCAAAGTCTGTAGAATTTAATAAAACAATCAAGACTGATATATGTACCTAATTCCAAATTTGAAATATTTAAAAATATATCGGAAGAACCAAAATGTTAAAAATATAATACCTATTAGCCAATTTTTTGATTGTTTTGATATTATATACATACATTATTGTATTATATTCAGTAGGATAAGGATGTATGATATTTTAGTAATTATTTATTGATAATTATTTACAATATCCTTTTCTTGTAATTAATAGACTTAAGGTAGGTAGGTTGGGAAATAATAGTAAGGATTGATTGAAAAAAAAAATGATTTTCTCAGTTTTTTGCTAATAATTTCCAGACATCAATAGTATAATTTAAGTTGATTTTCTCAGATCCAGTGCATGAGAAAATAATTAGAATTTCCTGCAGTAGAAAATGAACTATTCAAGCTGAAAACTATTGGTAGATGGCGCAACGTAGAGTTAATTTTCCGAGAAAACCGCAGTTCGTTCGACCCTGGAAAGCCAGTGGGAAACTCGCCCAAATTTCCAGCCTTCGGTATTATTATATTGATTTTTTCAAGAAACTGAATTCCTAACCCGTTTTCTGGCTTTGGTTTCGCGTAAAAAATCCGACAACGGAATCGGGCGGTGCGTGCGCGAGCCCTGTCCCTCAAACATAAAATCGGTTTTGTGTTTAAAATTGGATACAAATTAATTTTTTGGCGGACCTCCTCAAGCAAAAAAAAAAAATCCAGCCGGTCCAATCCGAAACCCACCATTCATTACTCACTTCACTTTGGCCAGTAAGGTAAGGAAGGCTTTTCATCAATGAATTACGAAACAGGACGTTTCAGTAGGGGGGATCACTCCTATTGATATATTAATGGACTATAAATACACTTATGTTTAATAATGATAACTCAAAATGAATGGATTTTATTTCATTAAAAAAAAAAGTCTGGATACATTTTCTAACCTTACTCTGGAAAATTGGCACAGGGAGCTGTGTCAAGAAAAGGTGCAGCCTTCAGCTATTTTCCTGGAAATTTTATTATTTTATGATCCAGTAGGCTGCACACCAAGAATTTATCGTTTGATGGTTTTCTGGATTTGGACATCTAATAAAATTTAATTAAATTTTCCGGGATAAAATATTATTATAGGATATAATCTATTTTAGTCTGTAGTAGTAGGTATGTGATGATTATCTCACGCTCACGTCAGGAATGTTTAATGATAAATAAGTCACATTGTAAATAATACGTAAAGTGTTTTCATTAGCAGGATAATGTTTTAGTTTAAATACAATGCAATTTTTGTATTGTTTCAGATATAAACATCGAGTTTTGAGTATTTTATTTTTGATACTTTTGTTCTAACTTTTATAGTTTCCAGACATTATAATTTCGTAAACCTCTTTTCGGATTTTTTCAATGTTTGAATCCATAGTGTGAACATTGCACAACCATTGCCAATTTTTCTAGAGGGTGTTTTTTATATATTGACACCCCACCTACAACCTTTACCTTTACAAGTAGGGTAGAAGAAAGGTGTAAATACAAAAGTTGTAGAGTTTTGGCTAAATTTTAGAATCCATGGTCAGAAACAAAAATTGAATATCAGAAATGTGAAATGTTCCATGTTTTCAGCTTTTTTCAAATGAGATACCCTATATTTGGTTCTATATTCTTGTAGTGTAGAGCACAGTTTCCCGATTCCAAAAATACATACATACCTAGTTTGTCTATATTTGGTTGAGCTGTCTCCAACATATTTGGTTGTTAAAATTTCAAAAATACTATCAGAGAAACCAAGTACCTATAGTATTTTTAATACCCATTTAGAATAACCCTATCCTTATTCATTAATCACGAATTAGATGAAACAAAAAATTACTAACCAAAACGAATGTCGATTGCTAATGCGTCAAATTCATGTACAAATAGGAAATTCCTAACCTTATTTTATTTGTCTGTTCAAGAAGCGACATACGTTTAGTCACTAGAACAACTGGTACTTCTAAATAGGTATTAAAAATTGTATATATCCTAATGTATCACCTTTCCCTATCAAATAGCATTGAAAGCTGATAAATTTTACCTGTACCTGTGGACATCGGATTGTGAATGGATAATACCCCAAATTTTACCTACAGCTTTCACCTGTACAGGTAGAATGGTTCACAAATACATACCTACACCATTTCCAAATCCAAGCGGCAGTAAATGACAAACTGGTCATTTTCATTACAACCTATCAAAAGTCCTCCGTGCATGTGCACCGGTCCAGGTAGGGCGTTTCAACCAATATGAATGCTGGTTTTTGTTTACAATTTAGGTTATTAAATGTCATTTACTGCCGCTTGGATTTGGAAATGGTGTAGTATTTTTACAATTTTTGAAGCCGAATATATAAGAAACTGCTCAATCAACCATAGACAAACTATATATTTTTGGAATCGGGGCATTGTGCTCTTCAAGAATATAGAATCAAATATAGGGCATCCCATTTGAAAAAAGCTGAAAGCATGCAACATTTCACATATCTGACATTTAATTTTTGTTTCTGACCATGGATTCCAAAAATTTAGCCGAAACTGTACAACTTTGGTATTTACACCTTTCTTCTACCTGTAAAGGTAAAGGCTGTAGGTGGGGTGTCAATATATAAAAAAACACCCTGTATATACAGTTACCTACTTATAAAAACTGTGCTTATAACGAGAAATTACGTTTTTTTTTTTAAAGTGCCATAGCCCTCCTCAACAAACTTTTCCGGCCATCTACCATAACTTTATTAGTGTAAATTTCGCATACTTTTTGCCAATTTTTGTACAGGTTATTAATTAATGTTTCTACGCTTCCACACTAAATTTTAATGTAAATCGATAGAGTAAATTTTGTAAATGTTTGCACATCCATTGTCAATTTTTGCACACTCGTATTTCCCTGATGCACCCACTTCACATAGGTATCGTCCCAATGTAATTGAGAAACGTTTAATTATAAAATAATATTATGGAGATTTATTTTAAAAAATTAATTACTTATGGCGGTAATCATTGTTTAGGTAAGAGTTATTTTTACTCAATTACAAAACTTCAATTCCCTAAATAAAATTATTTAACGACTTAGGACACGAAAGTTTACATGTCAGAGTACTTTTTAGCATGCGTATCGATATAACTTACGGAATAATTTAATTACCGGAGTCAAATAGAGAATATAATGGCATTTTTTTTGTCCAAGTGGTTTTTCATAGGCCTCTGCATGAATTAAATTTTATTTTAGTCGAGGAATTTTTGAAGGAACTCCCCTCTTTTTGCTTTGGACTTGAATTTCTGAAAACTCATAATTTGATAGATAGAGAGCTGAAATATTCAGTGAATCTTATCCCACCAGAGGTCTATAAAACCTGAAAATTTCAGCTCATTTGGACTCATTGTTCTTGAGATATAATCGCTTTAAACATAGTGGAGTGAATTTTTGGAATTTTCAATTTTTCCACTGTTCTTTTTCCAAAAATTAAAAATTCCCGCTTTAAATCTCATGATTAATTTTACTGTATGCAGTTTTTGGGATCCCAAATGATCGTTTAAAGTCGAAATCTCCACATAATACAGGGTGTCCCAGCCGAAAGTGACCCATTTCAAATGCTTATAATTTTTAAAACCAGGTGTGCTGGCTACCTGTGGTTTGCACCATTCGATTTCTCTTGGCCTGAAGTTTTATCTAGTAGGTTGCAAATTTTTTTGAAACTGGGCGAGTAAAAAAAAATCCGTTTTTCAAAATCGAAATTCTCTACTATTTTTAATGGAACACCCTGTATATCATAACGTCAAAAAAAAAAGATTCACGTTTAAGGTATTCATGTACGAATAGACATCGTCCCTAAAACTTGAAGTTTTATCGGTAAAAAATCGAAATTTTGGTATTTTTGCAAACGCATACTTTCAAAGCTTGGAATTTATATTTGCCTCATAAAAAGTTACTAAAAGCTGCATAAAACTATACAAAATGCTGTATATGTATATGTTAGCCATTCTGTTCCAGGCATTTATGTATCAGTAAATGGTTGAATTAATTGTGTAACATTTCTTGGAGAATCGCTTTGATGACATTACAAATATTCCGCTAAAGATCTTCCCGGCTCTTTGAGCAAAGTATTACCGCATCTTTCCTTGACATAACCCTAAAGAAAAAAAGTCTAGAACTCTCAAGCCAGGAGAGTAAGGTGTCCATTCTATAGGACTAGCTCTCCTTATCCGTCTTTCCCCAAATGTCATATCTACTGATTCCCTTGCTATTAAAGAATAATGAGGTGGGGGCATCATCCTGCTGGAAATAGATATCATTCAAGATACCCTCCTGTCTTAACTGTGGGAAAAAGAACATATCAGTGTATACAGTTTCGGTTATCGTTGGTTTATTAATAAAAATGGTCTGTATTTTTTTCTCAACAGTGATTGCACACCAATCTGTTACTGTTGAGGTATCTTGATATAATGAGTTCCAGGGAAAATACTCTGGAAATCGTTAAATTTTCTTGGAAAATGTATTTTAACTCAATTGATATCTAACTAGACAGTTACAAAATTGTTTGCCATCATAGTGATATCAAGTACAGTGGGAATCATTGCAATTGGCACACACTATATAAATATCCCTCGTAATGTGTCAAATCTGACACACAGTAATAGCAAAATGCTGCACTAAATAGATTTATTGGTTAGAATTTTGACTTAATACGAGGGATTTTAAAGAGTGTGTGCCAATTGCAATGATTCCCACTGCACCTACATGAATAAAGTTGCATGGGTTTGCAAAAATACCAAGATTTCGATTTTGATTTTTTACGGCTAAAACTCCAAGTTTTAGAGACGATGTCAATTGATACATGGATACCTTGAACATGAATCTTTATTTTGGCGTTGTAATATACAGGGTGTTCCATTAGAAACAGTGAAGAATTTCGATGTTGGAAAACGGATTTTATTTCACTCGCGTATAAGTTCCAAAAAAAATTGTTACCTCGATTGTTACCCACTAAAAAAAACTTTAGGATGGCACAAATCGCAGGTAGCTAGCACAGCTGGTTTAAAAGTTATAAGCATTTAAAATGGGTCACTCTCGGCTGGGACACCCTGTATTTTTAAATTTGAACATTTTTGAAACCAGACCTTTGGACTTGAATTTTTGAAAACTGAAAAATCATAACTTTAGTTGTATCATATAGATCGAAAGCTGAAATTTTCACGAATCTTGTCCTAGTAGAGTAGAGGTCTACAAACCCTTCCTTTTTTGTAAGTTCCAATAAATCAAGAGTCAGCTATAAATTTTGGACTATTACCGGCTCTTGATTCGCTGCACATTTTTTGTAAGAGGAATCAAGAACCAGTGATAATCAAAATTATCTTTTTGACTGGCTTTATGAAAAGTTACTCGCAAATCAAGTGCTGGTGATAGGTAATCAAAATTTTGATTATTCTATTTCCTACTGAACTATTATAACCATATAATACCTTGGTTACGATAATCATAAACAGGGTCTTAACTCCCAAGGAAGTTAAAGATTTCATAAGCAAGGCGGTCTTTCCCCCCCCCCCTTCCCAAGACCTTTAAATTTTACAAATAATTCTTTCAAATTAAAATAAATAGTCCCAAAAATACCCTAATAAGACCTATGAAAGGAGTGTGGCACCAAGAAGTTTCGCGCCTGCGGCGCTTTGCCTCCGGCAGCGTTCGCGGTAGGCCCCCAAGAAACACTTCCTGTAAGTTTGCCCCACCGAAGACAAAATCCTGGCTACGC